TGGAATAAACATTTTTCAAAGGTTAGAGATCCGGCCAAAGGGATAAAAAAAAAAATCACACGGGAGCACAAGGAGCTACATATTGTCCTTGTCTTTTTTTTTTTTGCTGCTGGATTTGTATCAAGGATATTTTCAGTGATCTTGAAGAGGATGAGCTTAAATCCTAATACTCTTCTTCATCAACTACAGGCAGTCATTTTATGTATCTGTGTAGCATTCTATAGATCATTCAATATAAATTAATAATAGCAGAATACTATTGTATTGTCCTGGAAGCATTTCTAACTAAACCTCATAAAATATGAAAAGACACTTGTGTACACCTTTGCATGTATTCTCATTTGAGCCTCATCACTTTCCTCTCAAGTACATTCTATTGGTACTATTATCTTTATATATAGACAACCATATATGTCTATGGTCACACATCACTATTCTGGAGGTGAGATTTTAACCCAAGTCTTCCTGACTCCTAGTTCATCGCTCTATTGGCTCTGCTATATTTCAGAATATTTTAAAATAATATTTTGAGAGATATTTCTTAGAACACCAAAATTATGGAAATATTTTTATGTACCTCACTACTGAAAGTGAAGAACACTTTCTTTACTTAAACTGAGGTTTTCAGTTTATCGCACTCATACAAAACAGCTATATATTCCCTTAGTAATGGCACAGAGAGAATAAATTCTTCACCATGACAATACTTGTCTGACATTGTCTAGAAAAGGAATGAACCAAAGAATAAAAGAGGAAAAGCCCTACCAAACACTTTCCTATTTTCCAAAGAATTTAGAAAATGTAACAAGGAAGAAATCAAGAAGAAGGGGCATCTTCTTAGGAGAACAAAGATAACTCCCTGGGTGGTTTCCAGTGACCTTATCTATTCCCAATGTAATTGGATAGCCAAAATTCTGAGAAAAATGGACTTTTATAAAAAAAATTACTTTGCCTGTAAAAGTTAGCAGCAGAGTGCTTTTATCCCCCTTTCATTTTTTTTTCTGTCTAGAGTACAAACACAACAGAGTCAGCCTGGGTGTACCTACAAGTGTGAGAATTTTGTGATCAGACATTCCAGAGAGTTAAGGAAATTTCCTGAGCAGTAGAAATTTTACAGAAATGAAAAGATGACACCTCCCTCCATGGCCCCTGTAGCTAGGAGGAGCAGTATCAAGTTACTTAAAGCAGTGAGGAGAAGATCTTCATTGACTCTGCCCTCCAACAAACACAATGGATGCTGACTCTTGTCCAACTATCTACTGAGGTACTGAGTCCTAGACAACATGCACATGTTGCTATCTGCCCTAATTCGATGCACGTGTACACACGAGAGAACTCATTCTACCTCTTATTTTTCCTTGGGAGCAATAATCAAACAAATACTACTATTGCCATTGAACATGACCTGACAATCTACAAACTGCGGTTTTACTCATAAATCCTGTGACTTCTTAGAATGAAAATCCCTTCCTTGGCTACCAGTCCCCTAACTGGTGATATATTCACTGATTAAAACATAAGCTCCTGGAGGGAAGAGGCTGTCTCACTTTTGTATCCATATCCCTACCATAAGTGTATGCAACAGAGTAAGCATTTAATAACTATTTGTCCATTGAATCATTAGACAAGAAGTCTCTGTGGGCTATTGCTCCCCTGGGTATTGCACCTCTAGATACGTGGTCCCTGTTGGATGCTGGTGCTGAACATATGGCAGGGGAGTGTCTCTGCTTCTAGATTCTGGTTTCTTCTGAAACCATTGGCTACAGTGATATCTTTTTCTAATTAAAAAAATGGTCCCTATCTTGTTTATTTAGTTCAAAAACCTAAGGTTTTGTTATAGCTCTTTAGAAAAGCACCCTGACCTTAGCCATTAGAGCAACTAAACCCATGTGACTAGGGGAGAGATGGGGTAAACAAAACCTCAGTATTTTCCTGGTTATTAAGTCACTTGCTTGCTTTCCCACAGATTCTTTGCTAGAAGACAATTCACTGCAATGGAGATCATTTGCTTTAAGTGACAATGCCTTTAGTACCTAAAGTCCTTTTAGCTAGCCAGTGTTTAATCTTTTCTTTGGATTAAACTTCCTGGGCTAGGGTCTTGAATCTCTCTCTCTCTCTCAGAGGTAGTTTATGATTCCATTCCCTCCACCCCCTGATTTTAATACCTGAAGTCCAGCCTACTTATGGTCATTATCCATTTAATTACTATTTTCCCCCAAAATGCCAAATATTTCTGGGGATGGGATACTCCAGTTTTCCAGTTCCAAATATTTCCCATTCTCCCATGCAGATGAGAGGTCTAGGAAAAGGCACATAGGCAAAGCTAAGCCCAGGGGACTCAGAACACTGTTACCTTTAAGCATCTTACCATAGTCTTGGCCTTTTATTTGCATATATGGTCAGAAAAGCTCAAAATGTCTGTAACTTCACACTTATAAATAGAATACTATGTTTTCTGTGGCTGGGTGTATAGGCTGCCACATATCCAGATGAAAGCTGGGCAATTCAAAAACAGGAAAATCAAATCAAACCAAACCAAATGCATATAAATAGCTGAGTAAACTTTTCACTGAGTATGCAAGGACTTTCTTCTTGTGTAGACCCAATCCACAGGCATTTGTATTGTTAACAGGAAGGAACTGTTCTTTAAACTGTGGATGGCCAGAGCTGAACAGAGCATGCTGGATACAATAGAGTCAGGAATTAAACAGAAGTTTAATTTCAAAGTGAGGGAAATGACTTGCAAGCAAGGACACTTGTGCTGGAGCCCTGCCCTTAGTGGTGGTGAGGGACTAGAGGCAATGTGGGAAGATCTCAGTACTTATACCAATGGCTAAATAGTGAGCTGTAGCCCTAACAATGAGGGGTAACAGCAACTATGGGTCAAATTTTATTCATAGCAGGGCTTCATGAATGCAACATGGGTACTTGTCCGGTGCTTGTCCAAAATCAGAGAACACCTGGTGCTGGTCAAAGTATATGATTTTGCCAGAGGGTGAGATCATCCAGAGCATGAGCCCAAAGGATTGTTGTTATGCTAAGCTTGCTTGTGAGGCCTTAGCTCTGTGAAACACCATGTCTCCCAATATCTTGACAGTACTAAACCATAACAAAGACCATTTTTCTTGGGAACCTTAGGTGGTATCCTTAAGCAGATTTCACAGTAAGAATAAAACAAAATGAAAGCTGAAGTCAGTGATGAGAAGTGCAATTCTGAGCCTCCTAACAGCAGGAAGCATATTGTTGAGCATCAAGCATACAGAATAGCAACAGTGTCAAAGACCATGAAGCAGTTTCTACCTTTTCTCAACATTGCTTTATTAGTGAGAAGTGAAAATTCGGCATTTACACTTTGTTTAAATATTAAAGTTAAAAGTCTCTTTTTAAACCATAAAATCTTCCTCTTGAACTTTTAAAAATGTATTCACTGTAATTTTGAAAAACTATACCATCTTTCTGTTGATATATTTTTTTAAAGTGGTCTAGAGCTCTGATTTCCTTTGTGTATGGAATTCCCTACAAAGAAACTTTTCTACAGATGCAGATAAGCTGCTGTTGTTCAACTCTGAGTCTTGCAGTACTATTTTGGGTACTGAGAAGTTAAATGACTTGGCCAAGGTGTTTGGCCAGTATATGTCCAAGGTCTTGAAGCCAGGTATCCCTAACTCTGACAGGCTCTGTATCTACTACACCATTCCGTGCTGCCACCTCTATAGATTTTAAAAATCTCTAATACTTTCATGAGAATCAAGTGGTACATTATTAGGTGGAGAGTTGGCTTTCAAATCAGGAAAATTTGGATTCAAGTCCTAATTCTGAAACATCCTAGCTATATGACCAGGAAAAAGTAAATTCCTTAACTTCTCAGTGCTTCATGTAGCTCTCTCTAAAAATTAAGTACAGAGGAATTTTTGTCTACAGTTGTGGAGGGAATTTACTACACTGATGGAATTACAGAGTTAAAGTCTTCATCCATACCTCAATATAACTTTTTTATGTTCCTTTCAAAATTAACAAATAAAATTGTTTTCCTCTCTCACATGATAATCATTTTATTCTCTTTCTTAGTTAAATGCTTGACAATCCTCGGAGAGAGACTTCCAAATGCTTTCTATCAATCAATCAATCAATCAATCAATTAACATACATTTAGGAGGGAAATAATATACACAAGACACAATGTAATGTGCTGCTAATACAAAGAAAAGAATGAAAAGCCCCTGATCTCAGAAAGCTTCATGCTAAAGGAAGAGACAATATGTACATTCACTAGCATATAAGGGATAAATTCACAATAACTACAAGGCTGTGTAGTTATATGATTAAAGAATAGCATTTCTAAGGTTCAGTCCCTAATAAGGTTTAGTCATAAGGAAAGTAAAAAGCTGAAGCCTTTCCTGTTTTCTGAATGACAAAAAAAGAAGAAAGCTTTTTGGTTAAATACTTGAAAGTAAGAAAATAGAGCACACAAAGTGATGGTTGTTAAAATATAAATCTTGCATGAAAGAAAAATGCATTGTATATTGATTTAATGCTTGTTTTATAGTTTTAAAACACTTTTAAAAAACTTTTGCATTTGGAAATGATGACTTGACAAAGAAGTGGAAATACAATTTCAACTTTTTTTTAACACGTAAGGAAAATATATTCATTGGCACCTATGAGGAAGATGATGTAGAATCTATTGTTAAATTGGTTGAATGCACATAAATCTCCCTGAGATGTGATATATAAATAATGTGTGGTCTATGGCAGGGTTTGTGCCTATATATTCTTGATGCTTCAAAAATAGATAATGTTTAATTTTATATCAATCTTTCTATTAATGTTATAAAAATGAATGCATTTTCATTGGTTTATAATTTTTGTACTTTGGAGTTGTTGTTTGTCCTTCATTTTTGAAGAAGACCAATGATATCATCAGGTGATATCTTGATTTGTGCATGAATTGGATTTCCGGCAGAGTTGCATAAAGTGATCAGCTTCCCTCTTTTTTCTAGAGTCATGGAAGTCCAGTGCCACTATAAAAGCCAGAGAGATTGGTGATGGCCCAGAATGCAGTGGATGACTGGACCCTTTGATGTACAATCAAGCTGTAAGCACTCCTCTGAGCCTTTTTGCTTCAGCCGCCTTCATGGCCATCAGAACAAATTGTTCTCATTTATCCATTCTTCCAGGCAAAGTCTTCACATGTTTGGGGCAGACATCCCGCTAACTCACAGGTCTATGAGTTTGAAGTCTGTTATTCACTCTCAACCTGGTTTAGCTTGTCTACTGAGACAGTTTTACCTGGCTGTGGGTGGGGCACTTGCTACAATACTTTGGAGTTAGAAACATATTGGCCTCCAATATGAATGGATTCCAATGAGGTTAGGTGACTTGACCAAGTTCATATACATAGTAAATAAGAAAGTCAAACTTAATATCCAGGTCTCACAATCTAATGCTCTTTCCACTACACCACAATCAAGTAAAGAGGCACTAAGGAATAACTCAGGAGGTAGAACCTGCACTGGGCTTTGAAGAATAAGGAGAATTGCAATGGGTGGAAATATGGAAGAAATCCATTTACAAATGGGGATTGATCTATGCAGAGGCAGAGAGGCAAGGGATTCTGGGACCAGTTCTTCTGAAACAGTGTGCATGAAGGGATCAATATGAAAAGGCTAGAAACATGGATTGGAGCTAGATTGTGGAGGGTCTTGAGTACTTAACAAAGGAGTTTGTACTTTAATCTCTATTCATCTGGGATCCATGTCAAATGGAAACACAAATAAAGCAAACAACTTGTCCTGGCAACTCAAGACTTTTAAGAAATCTAGTAAAAGCAGGGGTGGGGAGAGGGAAGAAAAAAAAAGAAATTTACATGATAATTGTATTGTGTATTTGAAAGGAATAGCAAATTGTGCATAGTAGATTTGCAGCTTCATGTACAATCATCTTTTTTATTGTACTGTTATGGAAATGCTTTTTTTATTCCATAAATTAAAAAAATTGAGTAAAAGTCAGAAATCAGGCATTATTCTATTATTCTTATCTATTGTGTCTTTCGCCCATTAATGTATTTGGTCAAGCAGAGAATATGGAAATTTAAGCTTATCTTTATAGATCATAAAATAACAATTTACCAAAATGTAGTGGTCATGTTTTATTTCTTCTTTGGTTCCAAAATGCCTCACATGCAAGTCCTTGTTGTTTGTAGGTAATAGAATGTAATCCCATTAAGGCCAGGGTCTCTTTCATTTTTTTTTTATATACTCCACACCTAGTACAGTGTTTCACATATAGTAGGCACTTAATAAATGCCCATTCAATTTAAAGAATTGACACCAACATATTCAGATAAAAAGGGAGAAAAAAATCAGCCAAATTAATCCTTTACTTTGCCTATCACAAGTTTAAACTTCAAGGTGACTCGCTGATTATTTTGTTTTTCATTTACTTCATTGAATTGTCCAGTTACTTAGGAAAGTAGGCTATTTTGGTGGTCCTTTTAATAGATACACTGTCAGTCAGTCATTATTATGAAAGTCTTCTTGTTTCTAAGGAGTACATAGCACTGTTCAGAAGTCTTTTGCCATTCATGGTTTCTGAATGTGGAATTGTTTAAACTAATGTGCCCATCTCACAATTCAATAAATCCGATAAGCAGCTTAAGCATTTACAATGTGCCAGGCACTTTGCTAAATTCTGAGAATACAGTTAATAAAAAGAGAGTCTCTGTCCTTGAGGTTACAATCTAATAGGAGGAGACAACACAAAAAAGGAGACAGGGAAGGGAAGGACACCAGGGTTTATCTGGCATGGGGACATCTTGTTCCATGAAATTGAAAAAAAAAACATGTCAGGGCAGCAAATGCAAAGGGCAGTGAATCTAAAAGTCCAGTTTCTCTATAAAGGAAAGAATCAGGAGGAATTTGGTATTCTATTCTCCAACCCTCCAACAAGAGGGAAGGAGAACCTGAGGGGAATGGCGAAAGTCAAGGCTTAAGTTAACAGAGGTGATGAAAGTAGAGGTGACAAGTTTAACTTGGGAGGGGCAACTTGTTCCTCAGAGTTGAAAAAAAAACGTCAGGGTAGCAGATGCAGAGTAGAGATACCATCATATTGTGGAATCTAAAGAGTTCATGCTATGTCAAAATATAGAAAATAATGGAAATACCTTACTAAAGAGATTATAGAACCCATTGATCTCAAAAGAGGAGCAAGACTCTTGAGAAGGTAGTTGTATGATCACATCTGAATTCATGGGAGCGGTATGATAAAATGGAAACAGTTCCTTTGAAGGCAGAAGATCTAGATTAAAATCTCACTTTTGATGCTTATTAGCTGTGTGATCTTGGACCAAATATTTAACCTCCTTGCTCCTCAGTTTTCTGACATGCATAATGCTAATACTGGACTAGATAGCACCTGAAATCCCCTTCAGTTCTCCATCTGTGACCATGAATTAAAATTTTACTGTAAAATTATTCTTTTTCATAAAGCTTCCATCATTTTGTCCTTAAATATTTTGGGATATTTCTAGATTATTGTATCTTGTAAATAACTAATCTAATGTGTACCTCAAAGTTCTAGGTCATGGTCCACCCAATATGAAAGAGATACATATTAAATTCTCAGTCCTTAATGTTACTTTTAATTTCTTTTCATTGAACCAATGCTAAACCCCCAAACTCGCTAAAATGTTAGTATTTCAGCAGAGAGTAGGATGGAGCAGTTTTCTAAGATTTCAACATTCGTTCTGAAGGAAGAAACATTTCTTATACATAAAACCACATCCATAAAATTTACTAGCCAACAATTTTTGTTAGCATAAAGCTCTGCTTCCACCATTATATCTGATAGATAAATTGTTTTTATGGATGTTAACCTTCTATGATTTGAAAGAAATTCTACTTTGGCAGGTAAGATAAGACATTATAAATAGGGATTTTATACCTTGGCTCTATTCTCAAAAGAAGAAATGCTTTTTTTAAAAAAAGACAGAGATACAGAAGGATAATTACAATCTTGACCAGTGGCAATTACATTATGAATTCACTTTGGTTTCTGGAGAATTGCAGGATCAGAGTTAATTTGCATCGTCACTTGGAGACTTTTGATCTTCCCTTCCTTCTTTGCTCTAGGGTTCTCATATCATTTCTGAAGCTCTCTTAACATTGACATTTCTAATGCTTCTGTTTTCCAGAAATCCATAGCTATGATCCATTTTCAGTATACCTTGAAGGCATTTATTTTGCCTGTGTATTTTGTTGCTATCCAACATTATCTCACTGTATAAGAACTGCTTAGAAAACCTGCATTATAGCCATAGAATGATCAGTTGAAGGAAATGAGGCATTCAGCCTGCAGAAGAGAAGACTTAGGAAGGACATAATAACTGTTTTCACATAAGTGAAGGGCTGTAATATTCAAGAGAGATTAAAATTATTCTGCTCGTCCAAAGAGATACAGTTGGATGTGTAAAATAGAGAAGTTAGGTTTGGGTAAGAAAAGCAATTTTTCTAATAATTAAAGATGTCCAAAAGTGGAATAGGTCATATTGGAAAGATACGGGTTCCTCTAGGAACTAATGCTAAGTGTGACATCATCTGTGGCAGATTGAAGTCTTACATACATATGGATATTACCATCACTGTGAGTTTGGGTTTACTCTGTACTTGAGATGGTACCTATAATTTATAGTGTCTACCAGGCTAGCAAAAGGCATTGTTTTCTGAAAAGGGAAGCCAGTAATTCTTGTTGATGTCAGCAATGGAACAGACAGGCAGCAGGAAACTCCTTTGAATAGAAGTATGACCAAAAATTGCATATCTTGGTGCTAGGGTCTGTTCCTCAATTATGTAGAAGGAGTGGGGAAATGGGAGCTAATCCTTCATATAGTACCAAGTACTGTGTTAAGCACTGACAAATATCATCTTATTTGATCCTCATAACAACTTTTTGAGGTAGGTGCTGTTATTATCTTCATTTACAGTTGAGGAAACTGAGGCAAACAGAGCTTAAATGACTTTCCCATGGTCACAGAGCCAGTAAGTGTCTAAGCCTGGATTTGAGCTCAGATATTTCTGACTCCAGGCCCAGTGTTCTCAATGTGACACTAGCTGATTCAGTGCTTCAATGAGAAGACAATAGAGAAGATAGCTTATAACTGACTTCATGGGCACACTTTTCTAATAAGTGCTAGTGGATCTGCTAATCAGTCACATTTCTGAACAGATTAATGTCTTTTTTTAAAAAAAAATCTCAGAACAATTTGACTTGCTAAATATTTTAGGCTCTTCATGATTATAACAAGGAGGTAATTGTTAAAAGTAAGTGATTCAATGACAATCAAAATTACCATCTTATGATCCAGATGCAGAATTTTCGGGAACTAATGATGATTGATAGTTGCACATGTGAAATTAGGTTGAACGAATAGTTGAAGACTGATTCATTTTCCATGCGCTTGTTCTGTAAACCAAAATATGTAATTGAAGGGGAGTATTTTCTATTGAGAATCACTGTTGTTGCAAATGTCTCCTCTAAGAATTCAAGTCCTTTCTTATTCTTGTTACCAACAAGGGCTTGGGCATCAGTGACTCCACCTTTAAAGTATTCAGGCAGCTTGAGTGGCATCTTAAATATAACCATCTGTTAAATGATTTTCTGGAATCCATTTACGAAATCAATTTAGTGCTGTGCACACTGTAATTTTTGAAGTGTTTTCCATCTCAGGAAAATGTTAATTTTATTTTGGATATTTATGCATGAAATATTTTATGATTGTATCATTCTGTTAGGGAATGTGCTGTTGCCATCTTGCCATTATCCATCAAAAATGAAGATGTCTATCATTTCAGTGGATTTTTTTAAATGACTTAACTCATTAACAGTATTGATTTTTAATAATACAGTATCATTCAGGTTATTTATAAATTTTTGGAAATGCATTGACTTAAGACAGACAGAAAATATGCAAACAAGACATTTCCATTTGAAAATATTACTTCAAAGTATTCCCTATTCGATGACAATGTGCAGACATTTAGTCACTTATTACTCTACTTGCAATGTAGAAAATGTTAATTGTTTTGTAAATAATAAACAGGATGAAGGTTCCCGCAAAAGAGTGAAGCAGGTGATGCTTGTCTTTGATACCTCTCATATAATAAGTTAATACCTATTTCTCATCTCACATTCCTCCCAGTTCCTCATGGTACTATGATACTCAAAGCATCCTACTTACATCTATTATCTTCCATGCTCAAAATAATTCATGTGCTCCCCTCTTACTGCCTGTCCAAAGTTACCTGTGTTCCAATCTCCCTCAACTAGACATGTTGGTAAGCTATTGAATTATTGATACTTCAAAGGGGATTTGTTTATTCAATTAAGCAAGCACTCAGCAATTATTTAGCAAGAACATACTATTTACAAGGCATAATACCAGATGACAGGATACGTGGACAAAAATTAAAGTCTCTGACCTCAAAGAGTTTACTTTTAATTGGTTAAGATAACATGTATGAATGTGTATATGCTCAGGTGTTTGTGTGTTTTCAAAGGTAATCTTTGAAGGGAAAGCACTAACAGCTTGTTGGAGAAGGGGAACAGGCAAAGCATCATGTAGATATAAAGTGATATGAGTTGAGCTATGAATTAAACTGGGGAATAGTTTCTAAGAGGGAGAAGTGACAAGAATATGTTTCAGGTAAAAGAAATGGACTATGCAAAGTAATGGACATTGGATATGTAGTGTTGCATGTGAGAGAGCAAGAAGTTCTAGTTTACTATGTTATTCTAACATTGTAACAGGAAGGAGGGGGAGAGAGAGAGAGAGAGAGAGAAAGAGAGAGAGAGAGAGAGAGAGAGGATTTAATCAAATTGCTCACTCTTGAC